AAGGCTTTCTCCTCCCGAAAAGATTTACAGCCTGTTCAGGGTTGTTATGAGTTGTAACTGACTCCACGGCACATAATCACCACCATAGTTTTAGAGACTGTCTCATCTTTCTCCCCCAAACCAGCTGGTGGGTTTAAACCATCAACCGTTGTTAGTAGCAGAATATTTTAACCACAGCACCACCAGGGCATCTTCAGTTTGGGGCAGTGTGGCTCAAAATCCAGTCAGTGAAGTCTGGAACTTGTGCCGATGTGAGAGTCCTGGGCCCTTAGAAGTTAAAGAAAATCCAGGGGCTGTAAGGACAGAATTCAGGGGAAAGTCTCTTCTTGTGGGGCACAGGGGATGCAACTGGGGCGGGGTCCAGGGCCTCTCAACATGTTCGGGCACACTGGTGGCACAGGTGCTTAAGTGCCCAACTGCTAAACAACAGATCTATCCCAGCAGCCACCCTGAGAGAGAGTCACTCTGGGAAAGCCTGCAGGGTACCCTACTCTGGTCTACAGGGTTGCTGTGAGAGGGTGTGGTCATAGTCTGGGTCCTAGGTGGTGGTGGTGGTGGTGGTGTGTACGTGTGTGGCCATGTATTTGATAAACTCTGTACTTAGGGCTGTTCAAGGTGCTCTCTGGACGCCCGGGGCCTGTACAAGCTGTATCTGCACCTGAGGTCAGAGAGTAGGAGTCGCTTGTGAACGGCTTCCACACAAGCTCTGCTCACCTTGGCCTTGACTTCTAGCTCTGACTGCAGTGGGCCACTGCCCCCAGTCAGTGCTAACTCACAGCGACGCGGTAGAACCCTACTAGTTTCCAAGGTGGTCATTTACTAGTTTGGTTTTCATTGATCTTTATTTAAAAATAAATAAATAAATCGTGATTTGAGTGAAAAGTTTAGAGCTCAAATTGGTTTTCCATTCAACAATTCATTTTGCTTTATCACACAGACTGTAGTCTTGACAATGAAGTGGCTGTCTTCCCGTGTCTCTCCCCCACCCCCGAATGTTGCTGCCCTTCTGGTCTCCCGTGGCTAGCTGCTCTAAGGAGTGTACCTCCCTGCCAGTGCTCACCTGTAGAACTATCCGTAGGTGGAAAAGTGAGCTATAGGGCCGAGTTCATTTCCCAGGCCTGCTCCTTCTATTTGTGAGCGTCGCCGACTTGGGACATGCATTTTGTCCAGTGCTATGTTTGGGCTCCCTGGTCAGTTTAAGCGTCAGTAGAAGGAACTGCAGAGCAGGTGGCACCAATTGTACACAATCAGTTGGTTAGTAGGCATTTTGTCGTCTGATTGGTTGGTGGGCAGATCATGAGGGGAAAGGGAATGTGGAGGGGTTGGCCTGATTTTGTCTAGGGAAAAGGAGAGCAGGGCTAGGTCAGATGCTGGAGGCATTATCTTGGCAGTCAGCTGCTTCCAGAACCTTCCATTTCCCCAGTACAGGCCTCAGGTGAATTCAACCTCATCAACAAGGAGCTTAGAAGCTCAGGATGTGGGCCACACCTCTAGGGCTTGAAGGGCAACAAGGACACCAGGCCCAGCCCCACCCTGAGCTCTCTACATGCAGGGGCTGCTGGAGTCTGGGACCGTCCTCCTCCGCCTCAGTTCTTGTCCTAACAAGTCCCTCAGGCAGGAGGTTCACAGGAGTACATTTGCTCAAGGCTACAGAAGCCAGGACGCCATCCCAGGGACTCTGCAAATTGCAGCTCCTTTGTAATGCAGCAAGCTCTCAATTACCCACCCTAGTAGTGAGGGCCTGAGTCAGCCAGAAACCATGTGTGAAGGACACAGCCTAGTAAGGTTTTCTGCTTGGTCTCATCAGGCTCTTGCTATTAACATGTATGTGAATCCTGATGTGGGAGGTGGGGGTCTGTGTGTGTCCCTAAGTATGCCACACCCGAAGGCCCGGAAAGTTTGCATCACATGCAGATTCTGGATCCACCTTCAAGTCTAGCTCTAGATGGAACTACCACTGTCCAGGTGGGTTTAGTGAGATGAGACTGCTAACCTCAAGGTCAGCCTGAAACTGCCAGCGGTTCCGTTCCCTGAGAGAAAGACGAGGCTTTCTGCTCCCAAAATTTACAGCTCAGCAGGGTCGCTGAGTCAGAACCGACTCCATGGCCCACCACCTTCCAGTAGGCTTACCATCCCATCTCCTACCTCCTGGGTAGTTTTTGTAAGTGCCCAGGTGTGGCTGGTGAGCTTGAACTAACAACCTTGTGGTTCAAGCCAGCCTTGCAGTGTAGCACATTAACCCTCAGCGCCACAGCTGGACTTGTGTTTAGCTTTCCCGATCTTCTACCTTCTTTGGAGAGAGTTCCTCAGGTACTTGGGGTGGCTGGAGTGATGCTGGGTTGAGAACAGCCAGTTTGCCAAGTTAGTACGGTGTGTGGGGTGGTCACTGGACATTGGGAACTCTGCAGTCTCTGGTGGTGCCAACTCCTGGACCCTTACCCGTGAATTTTGGAAGCCTGGTGCAGTCTACTCCGCTCCAACTCCCCCTGGCACGCCCAGGTCTTGCTCTCCCGTGTCCAGTGTAGAGTGACTAGGGTTTAGCTGGAACCCTGCCCCCTCCCTCAGTTGAGGCTCTCAGGGATGAAAAGAGATCATACTGCCCAGGACTGCTGCATTACTGAGGGCCCCTCAGCCCAGTCCACTGTCCCCACTCCCCTGACATACTGCAGCCCCCATGAGGTGGGCCCCCTGGAACATTGTGACACCCAGAATCAGGCGCTCAAGTGAAAGACAGATGACCAGCATGACCTCTAGCTCAGATGGCTTTTCTTTATAAAAACAAAACACAAATCAAACCAGACAGTGTATCCTGCCTGCAGAACTCAGTCATATGCCTCCCACATCACAAAAGTGTAACAGACGGATTTGCCGGTAGCAGGAGAACCAAGATACATGGCAGCCACATGGCCGGCGTTCATACAACTCAGGGGCGCCACGTTCCGCTTGGGAGATGACACATGGCAGGCAGGGTCAAGCTGGGGACAGGCGAGGTGGACCTCTTGGGTACAGACCTGCGCTGACGAACACTGTGGGAATAAATAAACGTGGAGCGTTCGCTGTGGCAGCCTTTACATTATTGAGATGTTGGGACAGAGACACGGCGACATGCTGGACACTTGCTAGATCAGCGTTTGCTTCTTTGAACACGACAATGAATGCGGAGATTTGAACCCTGGGGACATGTCAGTACGGTCACAAGTGGTGGGCTCTCAGTAGGCCCCCTACACGTCAGAGGTAGGGGAGGTGGGGGCTGCAGGGGGGCTAGACTCAGCACCACGGGAAATACACCCCAGCGTCCCCCTGCCTCCAGATCAGGGACCCAGATCCACAAGAGTCAAGAGTGGGCTCGCCCACCTGTCCCATGCCAGTTCAGGGCCCCCTGGTGGGGACGCTGTGGCTGGGAAGGAGGCATTAGCTGCTGCCTCTGTAATTTTGGGGAGCACCACTGTTCACCCTTCTGAAGGCGGATACCCAGCAGGGTCTAGGCCCAGCACCACCAAAGGCTCACAGAGGAAACTGCTCTCCGAGCCTCGCTTACTGTCCAGGTGGAATGGGATCAGGGTTGGTTTCCCATTGAGTCCAACAAGCTCCGGGAGGTTAGAGAGTCAGCCGTTGAGGCTGAAGAAGGGCCCATGCTCTGCTCTCCACCCTGAAGAGGGTCCTGGAGGTCACGGGGCATGGTTCCAATCCATCCTGGGAACAGGTGACTCTAACTATCTCTCCGGTCACTCTGAGCCCATCAGTGGGGCCCAGCTGGACAGGTGGCTGCATCCCCAAGGGAACAGCAGGCAGTAGCTGGAGGAGGCTAGGCTCACCCCCCTCCTAGGGCATCACCCGCAGTTACACTAGAGTCCACTGGGTCACTCACTGGTCATTTGGCCTTAGAGAGCATTTCCCTCTAAACCGGTCCTCTGGATAGGGTCACAGCCAGGAGCCAGCAGGGACAAGCCTGGTTGCTAAGCCCACAGCACAGCCTCATCTAGAGAGGGGACAATTGTGATTGCTGGGGTCAGCCCCTCAACAGAGCTCTGTGTAGTCAGCTGGAACCCCAGCGGTCAGCCCTTCAGCGGAGGACCCAGCATGTTCTGGCCACAGCCAGTCTGCCTGTCCAGTCGCGGTCCATTTCTAGAAGATTCCAGAGCAGGTCTGTCTGAATGACTTGGGTGAGGGCTCCCAGAGTGAGTGCAGACTGGCTGGGCACCGAGTCAGCACACAGGGACGTCCAAAGGCTGCTGGTTCTGTGCAGCCCACCCCCCACATGACCTCTCCTCCAGGCCTGCAGCTTCCAGATCTTTCCGAGGTACAAGGACGAAAGCTGGGCTTACCCAACTTCCTGTTTTCCTACAGGCACTTTTCTAGACAGGCTAGCGTTCCTTTTTCAGGAGGGCTCGGAGACCCAAGGTCAAGTCTGTGAGCCCGAGACACAAGTGCCTTGGGTTTGCGTTTTAACTACCGTCACTACCTTTATAACAATGGAAAAAAATGAGAGGAAAGATACGTGTGCCCCCCACAGGAGGGTGGGGGTGACGGCAGGGACTGCTGTGGTCCCGCAGTGCAGGTCAGAGTCTTCAGTAGTTCTGGAATGTTCTGGGGCTGGAGTGTTTGGCCCTCCTGGGGGCCTGGATTTGGAAGTGGGTCCCTTCTATTAGTTTAGCTGCGGCATCAGGGACAAAGATGTCCTCTCTCCCCTCACCTTCACCCGTTTCTTTTTAAAAAAATAATCATTTTGGAGGAGTCAGCTGGACCCAGAATATAAGTTAAAAAAATAATAGTGTTCGTAAACGAAGGTGGACGGGAAGCAACATCCAGTGCAACAAGAGGGTCCCCGTGCTCGGGGGGCCATGTCCTGACGCTTTGGTTGGTGTCGGGGGCCAACATCGTACCAGTTCTTCATAAGGCCAGCTGCTGGCTCGGCTGCACTTGCGGAATGATGGGGACTGAGTTGCTGTTCAAGGGGGCGGGAGCTGACAATGACCCTGGTGTGTCCTCTCAGTGCAGGCGCTAGGACTCTTGGGGGACCACTTCCATGAGCTTCTGGCAAAGGACGGTGGTGGAGACTGTTGGGAGAGAAAAGCAGGTTAGTTCAGGCCTCCTGGAGTGAGCCTATCTGAGGAGCCTTGTTGGGTCTGCACCCCCGACCCCTTCAGACAGGCATCCAGGGCCCTATTAGCAGACGTCAGTTCCTGTCAGAGGGCAGAGTCGTGCTCAGGACAGAAGGCTGCTTCCACACACAATCCTGGTGAGCCTCTAGGAGGACGATCCAGGCTCCACATCTCACGGCTAAGCAAGGTGCCCCCACAACCGGCTGATGCTCTGGCTCAGGGGACACACAGTGCCACCAGGGTTCGGGGTGTGGGGAGGGCTCAGGCACTCACAGATGCCCTGGAGAAGCCACTTAGGCTTGTCTTTCCACCAAACCCCGATGAAGTAGACAGGCAGGCCGCTGAGGATGATGGCAAAGCCAATGCCGCACTCTATGGGGGTTTTCCAGAAGGAGACGGCGATGAGGAAGAGGCAGGCCAGGGTGAAGAACACAGGAAGGGCCAAGTTCACCTGGGAACGCAGAGGTCACCGGTCAGCCGGGGCAGTCAGCGGGGCTTTCATTGTGATCACACACAGAGCAGACCACAAAGCGTTTGCCGTTACAGTGACATGTTCCATGAGCCCAGATCTTACCAGTGTTCCCAGCCCATCCACTAGGTCGATGGTACCTGTCCATTCCTGCCCCCCATGTGTCCGTGGGTCCAGAATGCTCCATGGACCACCCCCTCAGGTCACCTCTCCTGGCCTCATACCCCAGGCCAAGCAGCCGTCCCTGTCTTTCAGAGCTGGCCACAGACCACTGTCCTCAGGGGACCCAGCCGGCTTCCCAGACCTGACTTGACTCAGGTTTCAGTGAACGTCATGTCATGGCCTGCTGTGAACAGAGCCCTGTCCTGTTCGTGGCTCTGTCAGTAGGTCCTGACGTCTGGTTACCCCCATCACACGCCGAGTGTGGATCAAGAAGGCAAACAGCCAGCAGACACTGGGGACAGTGGTCAGTGCCCACATCACAGGCTGGGAATGCTGCCACTGTCCACCAGGGACACCCCGAGAAAGCAGTGCTGAGCGGCCTGGGAGACGCCACCAGACAGCACGGCTGAGGAGCAGGCACGGGGTCTCCCATAGATCGTTCACACAGGTTGATGCTAGGTCTGCCCTGTCCACAGCCCAGGACACCAGGGTCAGTGAGCAGATGTGCCCTACAGCTGCACCCACTTAGTTCTCCCATGGAAGTCGGGAGCCCTAGCTTGGCCAGCTTCCAGGAGCACAGCTCTGTCTGGGCCCTCTTTCTGGAGAGACAAAGTGCCCAGCATAGATTAATGAGGACACGTGGACACTGGCTCCTGACTCGGTTGGAGGACCTTCCACCACACTCAGACACAGCCAGTCCCCAAAAGGCCCGTTCAACCCCTCACTCTGCCTTCCACCCGCTGCTGCTTCCCTGAAGGAGTGCACACAACAGGCAGGCAGGGCCTCGGCTCACACGGCTCCTCAGTACGCATTGTGGACCACACCCGCTACCCCAGCAGCCCTCTGGGTCCAGTCCTTTCACCCAGCACTGCATGGTTCTCTGCTCCATCCCTGGCCTGCATGCGGCCCTGCCCTCATCTTGACGGGTCCCCCATCCCTGGCCAGCACGTGGCCCTGCCCTCACCTTGATGGGTCCCCCATCCCTGGCCTGCACGTGGCCCTGCCCTCACCTTGACGGGTCCCCCATCCCTGGCCAGCACGTGGCCCTGCCCTCACCTTGATGGGTCGCTCTAGCTCAGGCTTCTTGTAGCGAAGCCACATCATCCCGATGATGGCCAGGGCCACACAGAGCCAGTTGAAGAAGCTGAAGAAGTTGATGACGGAGAAGATGTCGTTGGAGAACGCGTACAGGAGGGTCATGGCGCACTGAAAGGAGAGAGGCCAGCCCACAGCGGGCAGGTGAGCCCCAGGGACAGGAGGGAGGTGGGGCTGGGGATGGAGATGGTGGCTGGGCCGTGGTTTACCGTAAACACCAGTGACGGCATGGGAGTCAGGAGCCTCGGGTGGATCATGGAGAGGATGGAGGGCAGGTGGCCCTCCCTGGACCCCACGAAGAAGAGCCTATATGGGCAGAGTGGACCAGAGGTCAGCCTTGGGAGGGGCACTACAGTAACAGCGCAGGTACAGAGGTCGGGGGAGGCCTGGGGAAGCTGCTGGCCGATCAGAAAGGCCTCTGCCACTGCCCCTGCATGCCATCGCCAAGACTCGGCTGACAAGAGGACGGGAGGGTTCTCTCTGTCAGGCCGCGTCTGCAGGGGTGTGGCAATGGTATCAGTCTGGGCAGCAGACTGATCGAGCCGCAGGTCCTTCCCTGCTTTTCCTAAGGCACCCCTGCCCCTTCCTCATCGTCGGAGGCCTGCGTTGCTCACCTTGAGGATGTGAAGAGAGACCCGTTAACGGATCCGAAACACGACAGGCCCACAAACACCGGGATGATCCAGGACATGACCCCCAGGTGGTAGTTCCCAAAGTCCACGGCCACGGCCTCGGAGGCCAGCATCTGCTCCGTGGACAGGGTGGTGAAGTAGGCCAGGTTGGTCAGCACATACACCAGAGTAACGATGGGCAGAGAGATGATGATGGCCAGGGGCAGGTTCCTGGAAGGAGATGTGGATGTGGGTGGGTGGGTGGGGGGCGGGCCTCAGCATGGGAACCGCTGCACAGCCCCTCTACTCCCTCCCCCAGGGCATGCTTCAGGAAGCCCCCAGCAGGGAGGACACAGGCATTTCTGTACAGCTGGCCTCCCGGCACAACCCTGGGGTCCTTGATGGAGACACTGCATCTCCCTTCTTCCTAACAAGAAGGGAGCACATCGCATGAGTGTGGAGCCATTCGGGAGAGGGTCCACAGCAGACCAAGTTACGGTCTGGCAGAGTGTCAGGCACAAGGCCCTGACCAGAGTGGAGTGAGCTGGAGGTGGGCAGCACTTTGTGCTGGAAACAGCTGCCTTGCTTGTTTTGAGTGGGATCCAAGGCCAAGATCACGCTGGAGCTCTGAGATTGACCAGCAATGTCTGCCACCCAGACCTGCCCTCCTAAGCTGGGTGGACCTGAGTGCCTTCTCACCTGGACACTGAGGCAAAGGTCACCTGCTCCTCAAGGAGGAAGACACCCAAACCAGTGGCAGTCAGCCTCTGGCGCTCAGGTGAGCGCTTGTTTGAAGCCTGAGATTAGGGTTCTACAGCCAGAGAAAGCCTCCCTGTCTGCAGCCTGGACTACCACCCACCAGGTCACCGTGTTCTACTCCCCCCTCAGAGGACACCCTGCCCAGGAGAAGGGTCGAGGGTTCCTAGGTGTGCTGGGCATTTCCGGGCCTCGTGTGGGCACCTGGAAGATGCGTTGCCCATTCCAAGGGGACTCAAGTTGTTTTCATGACAGCCCACCGTCACAGTCACCCTGTGGCCCCTCTAGGCTCAGAGGCAGCCCCCTCCTCAGAAGGCGGCTCAGCACAGCCTTTGCGAGAGTCTCAGCTGACCTCGCAGACGGTTTTTTCCTCGCACTAACATGAAATGTCATGTGCGTACCTGTAGGGGTTTATCATCTCTTCTGTGACAAAATTCAAGTAATTCCTGTAACGTAAAGAATAGGGTTTTGATATTTTTTCATCAATAAAGAAAACAAGATTGGAACACAAGATTGGAATTCTGTGGGGAAGCTCCTGGCTGCTCTGGGTCTGGTGGGAGGAAGCCCCCAAGTGCCTCCCTGGCAGGGGAGACTACCCCTGGTGAGTCATGGGGAGAGGCAGGGCCCTGTGGCAGAGCAGAACCCCATGGGAAAACTGTGTCCCTCACGCCGGCCAGGTGGGCTTCTGTCCTCCCACAAATGCAGCCAGTGCCACCTCTGAGGCTGATGCATAGCTGGAGCTCACCTGGCCTCCCCGTTACCCACATGCACTTTTGTGGGTGTGGTTCATAGCCAGCCACTGGCATGCACTGACATTCTGGGCTTTGGTTTCCACACGTGTGAGGGTTGGAGGCCAAGGGCGGTCAATGGAACAAAAGCGAGAGAACCTGATTGGGCAGGGGCTGTTCACAGGATGGGCCAGCTGACGTGCCCACTATGCGAGCTTTCAGATGCCCCGTTCCACCACTGGACCTGTCTTTTGCTGGTACAGTCAGGCCTGTGTGTAGCAGGGGCAATGTAGCCAGGGAGCCAGAGAGATGGGAAGTAGGCAGAGGTTTAGAACCATTGGCCCCAGCTTTCGAGACAAAGCCATTTTCTGAGCGGTTAAGTCATGACGATGAGAAGCAGCTGCGACTTGCTCTTTTTTGAGCAGCCTGAGGCTCAGAGTGAAGCTGCGAGATGCCCCCACCTGTTCTCCTAAACAGCCCATTGATGCCTGAGTGACCTGCGGTTTCTGGACACTCAGGGTTCATGTGTCCCAAGGTCAAAGGTTCAGACACGTGGGAACCTACCACCCTCCGTAGGCAAAGAGGCCACTGTATAACGCCAGCACAATGTTCCCGACGTCCAACTTGGTGCCTTTGAAGGAAAATTTAGGGTCCAGATTTGACACATCACCTAGCAGAGATGAAACAAACAGAATGGAATGCTGGGTTAGCATGGTCTACATGGAGGTCATTTCTCAAGTTCTGGAATGTTCCTGGAGCCAAATCCAGTAACAAAAATGTCAGGTTGAAGGTTGCAACAAATTAAAGGCACCTGCTGGCCCACTGGACCCGAACGTTTCCCAGATTTGTCCTGGGGCCAGGAGTGGGCCGGCCCAGTGCTCTGCATACTTCTGACTCTAAGCTGGGAGGAATGTGACCAAGCAAGGGGCCCTGGGAGAAGCCAGTCAGCAGGCCCCACCTCAGAGCTGTCCCCCCAACTATGTCCACCACTGGGACAGTCCCCTCACTGTCTGAAGGTAGTTTCCTGTCTACACAAGGAGGCAGGGGTCTGGTCACCTGGGGGCAGACACAAGGCGTGTCTGGTTCTGTCTGAGGTGCAGACCCAGGCCCCGCCTAGGGTGGGACCAGGTGGACAGGCTTGGGTCTGCATCCTGCTTGACCACTGATGTCAGTTTGGCTCCTGGTTGGGGAGGGGGCAGGTAATGTGCCCACAGCCATTCAGTTGACTCAGGGTCCACTCCCGCAGTGGGAAATGAGTAGGGGGTTATACAGGGTGGACACTGTGGCCTGTACTTGGAAGGTGAGTGGATTGCTGAGTGCTGAACGGGCTGTGATGAGGTGGAGGGAGGCAGGCCCAGGACACAAGCAAGCCTTTGATGGTCTGCTCAGGGCTCAGATGTGGGTTCTGCGGAGCCTGTCCGCCCTTCCTCCTGTCTAGCCAGTCTAGTGTCTCCTGAGCAAGGAAGGGTGGGCCCCTGGCACCCCTGACCCCCATGTGATCTGTCCTGCAGCCTGGTGCCCGGTCAAAGGGTGGTCAGCAGGCTGCATATGGGGGCGGTGGGAGGCAGGGGGCCAGCAGTGCCTTGGAGGGCAGAGGGAGGAGGCAGCTGACCAATAGGAAAACAAGTGGGTGCCACTGGACACGCTCTGCTGCGAGGTGGACGTGCCCGGCGCACAGGTCCCTCCTCACAGAGGACTCAGGGTCCCTGGGGGGTTGGCAGGGCTGGCCAGGCTCCAGTCCCTCCTCAGAGGGCGGCACAAGGGGCCAGCACTCTGGCTAGTCTGTCCTGTGTCCCCCAAGGTCACAGAGAGCCCCCTCTGCACGAGCTGAGTGAATGCGTGTGGTGGAGATAGGGCCACAGAGAGGAGGGCTCGTGGCTTCCTGAGGGTGAGCTTCACAGGGTCGGGGGGGCACTGTGCTCACATGCCCGCAGCTCAGAGGTCACGCCCGGTGGAGAGCTGGGTGAGTGAGAGCAGAGCTGCTATCCACGCAGATGGCCCCATGACAATGTGTAGGAGGGAAACCCCGCGCTCTGTCAGTGCTCGAGGAAAGATGAACACAATGCTCCTTGTGTCCTGCCTCGGGAGGAAGCTGGCATAGCTGCCAGGTACACAGTCTTCTCGACCTTGGGTCACTGGAGCCAAGGGGACAAGGCTGGGGAAGGAGAGCCGGGACCCTCCGAGCAGCAGCTCTACCTCCATTTCCCAGTCTTGTCAAGCCCCCACTAGTCCCCACCCACACTTGAGAGGAAGGCCCGGCTGACTCAATCCCGAGAGTCCAGGATTGAGTCCACACTCGGCAGGGCCTACTTGCCTGCCCTCGCTCCTCACTGCCAACCGCACAGGCAGACCCTCACACACCCAGGGCCTGTGCACGGCTGGCCCCTCCATCCAACACCAGCCCTGGGGACAGCTCTGCCCCTCACTGTGTCCTACGCTCACCAGCTCGGTACACTGTGGGTGAGCCACTCGGTCCACAAGGCGCAGGTGCGGGGCCCACCAAGGCTGAAGGTTTGCAGGCACAGAGCAGCCTTGCTGAACCCAGATGGGTACAGCCTGGTACTTCCAAAGCTCAGAAAGGAGAGGCGTAGGCTGCCTGAAGGGGAGCCGACTGAGACAACTGTAGTAGAGAATGTGGCCCACACATATTTCAGGCCTGCGTGCCCAGGGAACAAGCATCTCTGAGGGCAAAAGGGCCAGGGATTCGGCATTAGGCTCTGTGCCCGGAGTCCGGGCAAGGGGGAGGTCGGCGGGCGGATGTTTCCTACCACGCGCAGAATGACTGTAAACACATTCTGTATTCGAGGGGAACAAAAGCTCCTTGCTATGTCTACCAAAATTTGTTTTTACAGAAATAGGGCCCCTTCTGAATGCCACGTCTGCCTTTTATCTCATGGAACCAGCCAAGTAAATACCTTTACACACAAGTCTATGCTCACATGACAGTCCCAAAGGGATCACCTCGGCCTGGGAGGAATGCTGCTTCTGCCCAAAGGACCAGAGGACCTCTGGGTGAGGGCAAGTGACATATTGCTGGATGCCCACACGGGCAGAACCGCTGGTGAGCAGAACAGACCCCCCAGTCCACCTCAGGCCATGGGGTGACCCTGAGCTCGTTCAGTACTGCCGTCTGCCAGAAAGGCAGCTTTCCGTGACAATGACGATGGTGCTGATAGGCACTAGGGGCCACCATCAGCTACTGCACACACACTCTGGATGACTGCTCCACTCAGCTTGTCCACAACTGTGGTGCCCACTGCCCCAGGCTCACCCAGCCCTAAGGGACTGAACACACGCCCTCCATGCTGAGGGTAGCTCCCCAAGATCTTCCATGTCAATCCGTGCCCAAGCAACCAGTGTGGGTGGAGCAAGCAGAGCTGAGACTCCTGAGCCACTTTGGCTCCAAGGACACGTGTGGTGTGGGGTGTGGGCTGGACTTCTGCTTGCCAATCTAGCCGACGGCCCCTGCCTACCCAACGCTTCACTGGGAGAAGAGGACGGCATGGACAGAGTCCATGTACCTCACCAACCCGGACCCCATCTGAGGTGCAGATGGTGTTTAGCTCTTCAGTCTGGGTTCCTGAAAGCAGGTGCACCCCGGTGTGGGCCCGGGACACCCAGTTCCTGGCCCTGTGTGTGGAGACCACGTCCACAGTCTATGGTCAGGATCCCATGCCTCCTTCCTCACATACAGGACCCCGTACCTGCCCTGTCACACACGGGACCCTCCGTCCTCACACACAGGAGAGAGTGTCTTTGTTGGGTGAGTCCTCCGTTTGTAGCTCATTACAGGAGATAGCTTAGTGTGTCCTGTGACACCGTGGCCAGCTGCTGTAGCAGGACTGGGAGTGGGGTCACCAGAGGGGCCAGCAGTCCATTTAATGGTGGGGAAACATGTTGTGGGTGATGTCAGGGTCATGGAGGACCCCACAGCCCGTTTACGATGGCGACACAGGTCAGGGGTGACATCAGGGTCTTTGCAGGGATGAGGGGTCACACTGAGGAGGGAGGAAAGGCCAGCAGGCTGCCTGGACTCAGGCAGGGACAAAGGCTGTACTTACCCCGCCCGATCTGCACGAAGCCCAGCACGATGATCAGGGTTAGTGCTAGGAGTTTTGCGGCAGCGAAGGCGTCCTGGACCCGGGTGGCGGCCTTCACGCTGTAGCAGTTTACGGCTGTCAGCAGTACTGGGGACAGAAAGGAGGGCCGTGTGAGTAACCGTGGGCTACTGACCACCCTCACCTGCTGTTCCAGCTGGGGCCTACCAACCCCTCTAGGGTTCTGATTTGCTGTAGCTAATTCTCCGGGCCCAAGGTCAGAGAGCCCAAACGCCACATGTTCTTGATGTTCCAAAGAGCTACAATCTGAGGTCCCCCTATGGTCACGATGATGACGCTGAGAGACCTGAAGGCAGTAAAGCCCACAACAGAGAAACAAGGTTCAACGTCCTCTTCAGACACAGAAGCCGCCCAACAGCCTGGAGAGCACCTCCATGCAGGCCAGGACTCTATCAGAGGATATGGGGTGGCCGGTCTGCCCCAGGACAGGCGAGGATGGCAGAGAACGCAAACATGCAACATGAACAACTGAGGAGGGGACTGGGAAGCCCTAGGGGGCACCTGCAGACAGCGTAGCCTGGCAGAGGCTACCCACTTCTAGGGGCAGAAGCCCATCCTGAGACCCTGGCCAAGCCCACCAGCCCCACCCTCCTGCAACCCTGCATCTCCCGGCATTGTTTGCAGCTCCGAAGTAACCTCCTCGGAGCAGCGGGGAGTTGGGATGGACCCAGGGTCTCAACACAAGCAGGCCCCACTGGCGGGGCGTCTGACACTCATCATCACATCAACCCCAACCCCAGACCCAGTTCCAAGTCAGAGTGGCCCTTCTGAGCCTGTAGCTGCTCCGCAGGACAAAGAAGAGGTTTTCTGCTCCTACAAAGATTTAAAAGCCCAGGAAATCCCATAAGGGGTCACTATGAGTTGGAACCAACTTGATGTTAACAACTTAACAACAGCAACAAATCTTTATGGGAGTAGACGGCCTCATCTTTCTCCCAGGCAGCGGCTGGTGGGTTTGACCCACTGACCTTGCAGCTCAATACCTATCCCACATTTAAACGTAGGCAACAGAGAGGTGGCTGTCAGCCCTAGTCAGGTGATCTGACGAGTTTGCCCCATGCCACTCAGGCCGTGCCCCAAGCTGGTGCCTGAGCCCCTGGCACCGGAGGAGGTTGGGGTGGTTGACGGGAGAATGAGCCAGATTCCAGGCTACTGTGGCCTCATGAGGACCCCCAGACACAGCAAGGAGGGGCCAGCCGAGTGGCTTTCTGGGATGCCTCCTTGTGTGTCCTCACGCAGATGTCCCTGCGGTGCATTTGGTGTCCCAGACTCGGCAAGAAGGTGGGCTACATCCCACTGCACGCTGGCAGCAGGGGACCCCAGGACCCCAGCCATCTGCTTGTGGTCTCCCAGGAGCTCCTCCCACTTCCCAGCAAAGACACCACGGCTCGAGAAGGGACGGGACCTGCTCAGAGGCTATGCGGGCAGTCACAGTCATCCCCAAAAGACTGGCCCCTCAGCACCCCTCCACTGGGCGTGGAGGGCACACAGTCCACTGGGATCTACCCGCATAGATCCTGAGCAGACAGCAGCATCCCCACACGCCCCTGGGGGGACCGTGCTGGGTGGAAACACAGGGACTCGGTAACTTTGTACTTCTTCTGTAAAAAGATAAAAACAGGATGTTCGTTGACTTTGACTGAGAAGCAAACAAAGCCATATTGTTCTTCGTAGGGCTTCTTTTTGGTCGGAAGTTACCACCCACCCAGAGTCGGGGGTCAGCAGTGTTCCTGTGGTTGGAGGCTGGGGGACTGTCAGTCCCACACGGCTATGGTGCCTACATTTCCACAGAGTCAGCAGACAGCCCAGCAGGGGGACAGGTCTCCCTGGGGTAGTGGACTCGAGGCTGCTGCCTGCTATGGCAGCATTGCTGACCCCTGGACCCTCTGCAGCAAAGACACGGAGGGGCAGTGGAGGAACAGGGGCAGGTGAATTGGGGGGCAGCCAGGCCACAGCTGGGAAGCATCACCCTGATAGACAAGGCGGCTTCATCCCCAGCAGTAGCTGGGGCCAGGGTGATAACGACCCCTCCCTGGGAGGGGCTGCAGGGGGAGGGATGGCAGACAGCCCTGCTTCTGTCTCACTCCTCTCGGGAGCTAGGTCTCCAGTCTCCTCTGCTCCCCTGTCCATGAAGACCCTCACTCTCTGTGTGAGCCTTGAGGGGGGCTTCAGATGACTGACCTGGCTTGCGGCTGGACCCAGTGTCCACATCCCTCACCAGGCCCCATTCCCAGAGCTCTCCGCTACTCTGTCCTCATCTCTCTCAATACTGAGGACAGAGGGAGAGGACCCACTCAGGAGTCAAGTAGGGGGGACCCCAAATGCTAGGGCATTAATCTACCCAAAACCAACCAGTCCACCTATGGGATGCCCATCTTTCCGGGTCCTCCGAGGGAGTGAGGGGGGCTCTGTGCTTGATTTTCAAGACATCCTCAGAGCTACCCAGACTCTGCTCTGTCCCCTGCAGGCCACAGACGGGGGTTCATCCCATGACTGGTACCAGTGAGCTGGGCCATTGATCCGAGTGACTGTGGCTGCCCAATTGGGCCAGCACTGGGCACCCCAGGAGTGACCTTCCAGATAAAATGGGGAGCCGGGTATAGGCCCTCCCACTCCTGCTGACTCATGAGGGTGAGAAGAGATAAGTGGTCTACATGGGCACCCAGAGCCTCTCCCCTTCTCTGTCCTCACCCATCTGCATCAGGGGACACTTCACAATGACCTGGACAGGGATTCCAAGACTGTCAACCTCTATGGGCGCAGACAGCCCCTGGTGGGTTTGAACCGCTGACCTTGCCGTCAGCAGCTCACCCTGTGACCCTCTGTGCCACCACAGCTCCTCAGTCTGCTGGGGGCCATGAGCTCCAGAAATGGGGCAGACCTGCTCCCCACCTTTGGTCTAGTGGCCTGCTACATCTGAGGCACTCCTTCCTTGGCCTCGAGCTGGGCATCTGTCCTCCATCTGACTGCGTGCCTCGGAGCCGACATACCTGAGAGGTGTGCCGCCCTTCTCTTCTCCATGGAAAATTCAAGAAGCCTGCTCTGTGTACGAGCTTATAAAAAACCCAAACAACCCAGTGCTGACCAGTCCCCAGCTGCCCCCGCGCGAGGAGAAGGTTTTCAAGGTTTGGACCCTTCAGGATTAGGCTGCCGTGTTCTCTTCCCAGGCACCTCTGGGGAAGTTCAAACCTCCTGTCTTTGTATCAGCCACCCAGGGACCCCAACAACAAGTGAAACATGCCCACAACTCCCTGGGTCCTTCACTGTGTGAGGGTGCAGGGGGCTCCTGGGCCTGGAAGGTGAGACCCAATGTCTTCCCGTTTGCTCAGATGTTGTGGCAGGAGTGTCCCCGACCCATGAATCAGTGACCCTGTAGGACGGGCCTAGTGGCCCGGAAGTCATGTTGTTATCATGAGGTGCTGTTGAGTCAGTTCTGACTAATGGAAGTCCACACGCCTCCTCGTCCTCGTCTTCCCTGAGCCACCCCCGGTCCTACACCGGCCTCAGTCCACACACCTCATCTTCCCTGAGCCACCCCCGGTCCTACACCAGCCTCAGTCCACACACCTCATCTTCCCTGAGCCACCCCCGGTCCCACATCGGCCTCACAATCACTGTTGGGGTGAGCCCGCTGCTGCACCCATTGTTTCACTAGCTGCTGACAAACCTGTCCTTCTCTCTCCAGCCAGCTCTGGAGTGTGGAGAGTGGGGACCCCCTTTGTCTAGCTCAGTGTGAGGCTCTCAGTGTGTTTGTTACTAAACTCCCACCCCCCACTTCTCTAAGAAAACCTCCTCTGGAGAATCAACTGTAAATGAGGGCACTGTTCAGCCACGGGCTTGGCCCTCTCACAGAATTCCCCAGGAGATCCAAGGTGGGGCTAAGCCTTAGGATGTTAGGTGAAAGGAGGAAGATGGGACCGATGACATCCGCACAGGACAGCCTTGGACACCCTGTGGGGCAGATCCACTCTGACCTATGGGGTCACCGTGCGTCGGAGTCGACTAAGTGGTGACAAGTTTGGTTACTGAGTGATCTAACTGTTCACGTAATGCTGAATGTGTATGGACGAGCATCTAAGTCAGACGGCGTGGGTGCCGACGATGAGAATGGTGATATGTGATGAACGTCCCCAGGGTCGAGTTGAACCTGCAGAAACTGACGGGTGGGTGCAATGCTCTGGAGAGTAAATTTTCATCACAATTAAATGAAAAAGAAAAAAAAAACCCCAAAAATGCAGGTACATATATTTACATAAGAGTATACATGAATGAGGGGGGTTTGGTGGCTCTGTAGGATAAGCACTGGACTATGAACCACAAGGTCAGTGGTTCGAACCCACCAGCTGCTCTTTGAGAGAAAGATAAGGCTTTCTGCTCCCACAAAAGGTTTAAAGCCTACATAGGATCGGTATGAGTCAACTGACTTCATAGCATTTAAACCAACAGTAACATAGACAACGAGGGACATCACTGTTGACGTCAGATAGACTTTGGCTGAAGGCAGAGGGTACCAGGACAGTGATTGCTTGTGCCTTGTTGACTGTATAGTCAAACGCATTTGACTCCGTACATCAAACAAACGGGCAGCGTTGCCAACAATGGGAATTCCAGGACAGGTCATTGTGCCCAGGCAGAACCTGTACACAGATGAAGAGCTGGTTACTGAATAGTTTAAAGATCACGAAATGTGTACGTCAGGGTTATTTATAGCCTTTCCCCACACTTATTCATCTGTACGGTAAACAAAGAATCCGAAAACCTGGACAATATGAAGGCTATGCCATCGGGACGGGAGGAAGGTTCATTAACAACTGCAATGAGCAGATGACAATGCTTTGCTGGCAGAAAGCAGAAGACTTGAAACACTTTTGGTAACGAAAACAAATATCCTCCCAATAAACAACATCACGATAAATGGAGAAAAGATTGACGTGGTCAAGGATTTCATTTTACTTGGATCCACGATCAATGTCCGTGGAAGCAGCAGTGTAGAAATCAAGCAACTATTGCATTGGACAAATGTGCTTTAGCAGACCTTGTGTTCAAGAGCAAAGATGCCACTTAGAAGTCGAAGGTGAGGCTGATGCAAACTGTGGTATTTCAACTGCCACATATGCACGTGACGAGTCCTGGTGTGGCGCCCTGGGTTAATGCGCCAGACTGCAAAGCCGCAAAGCCGTTTGAACTGCAAGGTCCGCAGTTCAAGCTCATCAGCTACTCCTCGTAAACCCTATACAGGGTCGCTATGGGTCGGAATCGACTTGACGACACTTCACAACAACAACAATATGCATGTGAAAGTTGGACAGTGAATAGGAAGATGCATCTGAAGTGTGGTGTTGGCTAACGACACTGAAAGTACTGTGGACAGTCAGAAGAACAAATGTATTTGTCTTGGGAGGAGCACCGCGAAAATGCTCCTTACAATCAAAGATGGTTAGACTCTGTCTCAGTCCTTTGGACATGTTCTCAGGAGGGACCAGTGCCTGGAGAAGGCCGTCATGCTTGGTAAAATCGAGGGTCAGTGAGCAAGAGGAAGACCCCAATGAGATGGACTGGCACAGTGGCCGCAACAATGAGCTCAAACTAACCGCTGAGGATGGTGCAGGACCAAGTGGGGTTTTGCATGGGGTTGCCATGAGTCGGAACTAAGTTAGCAGCACCCAACAACATACATGTGCGCACTTGTATTCATCATATATATAACATGCACACAGGAACTAAACATGGCTGACCGAGCCTGGAAGGGTGTCACCTCATTCCTACTGAAAGACCTGCTAATTAACAGTACAGAGACTTGAACCCTCATGGCTGGAGACAGTGGACAGCAGAACTGGGCAGGGCATGGGACCATACTGAAGGTTCCATCTACTTAGACCTAACAGGACTGTTTGAAAGTCCATTCTAATTAAATACCATGTTATCACTTTTATCACCAAAGGAATGCCAGTGATGGACCGTGAGATAAGATGCTCTGGAAGGCTCTAGGCACCAAACGAGAACCCGCACACACCCTCTTGTTGCAGCGGTGCACCCTGGGTACCAGGCCATGAAAAGGACTAGAGACTCCATTCCTGCCGTTTGCGTGAAGATGGATGTACAAGGGGGTGTGGAGCCCTGCTCGCACAAATCTTCCTTGGGGGTTCCCAGGGGACAGCTACTTGGAGGTTCTTCAGGACACGGTACAACTCCATACACTACTGCATAAACATCTAAAAATCACTCCAGGCTTGGGGAATACAGGGCAGGCTGGAGGGCAACGTGTAGATGAAGACTCAGTTTATATTTTACAAAATAAGCAACGTGTACGTGGTGTAGCAGGGGAAAGCTACGGAAGGACCCACTTAGCTGTTGGCCCCAGTAATTGCAGGGCAGGAGGTCAAGGTGGTGTGTGCTGTATTCACCATCCTGCCGTATGCTTTGACTTCCTAAATGACATGATAGTGTGATTTTTAATGAGAAAAAGGAAATTCGAAGTAGCCTTTCCCACAGCACCACCGGTGGAAAGACGTCCCAGGGTCAGCTCGTGCAGCCTTTATGGGTGCTGTCTGACTCTGCGTGGAACTGTGAAACAGCCAGCCAAGATGAAGCTGGACCATCAAACTTCTCATGGTGGCAAAACCAAACCAAACCAAGCAAGGAATCTCTTGAATGGGTTTCCCTCTCTTTACTCAGTCCAAATAAACCCACCAAGTGCCCACTGAGAGCAGCAGGCTTGCCCAACTCCTGTCGTTGGAAGACTAGGGCTAAACAAAGAGTTCTGAAGTGGACCTGCCTCCAGAGACCAGCAATGGGTCCCTCCACCTTGATAAGGTCATTCTGCTGAGTTTCAGGAGCACATCCAACTCCAGGGCTAGGGATGAGGGGATGCACAGGTGTTCTGTGGGGATGGATGGAGGTCACCTGACTGTTTTGAAATGTCCCCCACCCCCCAACACAGTGTGATAGAGACAAGATTCCAACAGCTGGACTCCACCCAGTGTTCCAGCACCTGCAGGTATGGCCAATCAGTCCCCACTGCATCCATTTCACGCTACTGACTCCAAATCATATATTTAACTCAACGACCATGAATTTATATGGTCTCTAGAGATTTGGATCGTAGCTCTTGGCATGCAGCCAGTAATAAATTGATGCTTGTGCTCGGGGTACCAACATAAACTTGGAACATGGGGCACTCCAAGCCTTTCAGACCTCCTAAGACCACCACCCACAAGGTCAGCCTGGAAATGCCAAGAGCCAAAAGATAAAAAAAAAAATTTACATGGCGTTTGGTACAAAAGATCATCTCCTGAAATCCCAGGAGTAAAACTTTAAGCAAAGCTGCAATTCTCGGTGCCGTGTCCAGGAACACATCAGATGCAGGACCGGCACTTACTAGAATGGGCTCAGGTTCTTATGACAATACCAGGGGGTCTCAAAAAGTTCGTGGAAAGAGGCAATGAAAAGATAATGAATTTTTTCCATAAGCTTTTTGAAGCCCCATTGTGAGCCCAACAACGTATTTATTGGCGCTATGTCCCAGGATTTCCTTTATCATCACAATTCAAGCCTCCCACATTGACTGTCCTCCTCGCTCAACATACACACAAATTTCATCATCCAAGTGACATACATCCGTTTCTGCTTCCGGGGGACTAACAACTGCTGCTTACCTAGTAGACAACACGCATAAAACATCACTACTGTTTTGTTTGGAATCAGCCTGATAGGTTGAGTAATGAATGAAATTTTTTTAAATAGAAGAATTACAGCAATTTCTGTCTCAAAAGTCAGTCAGCTCTCTGAACCTTAAGAGGAAAGGCTTGGGCTCAGACACTCCACGTGGGTGCCTTGCAACACTTAGAGAAGATTACTCAGCGGCGCACGCAGCCCTGTCCCGATGGGATCAGGGGGCCCAGCCTAGGGCTGCGGGACCAGCCCAGAGGTACGAGGCTAGTCGGGGGGACGCAGGAGGCAGTTCCAGGGCCCGGGTTTGGTACTTACGCACGCAGAGGCAGGCCACCAGCTTGGCCGCGTTGTCCGGCACCGAGCAGGTGGGGAAGAGCGGCTTGAGCAGGTAGGTGGCGAAGACAAGCGCCACGATGTACTGCGAGGAGGGTCGGATTATGAGCAGCTCGATCCAGAGCTTGAGGAAGGCGGGCAGCGAGCCGTAGACTTCCAGCATATAGGCGTAGTCGCCCCCCGACTTGGTGATGGTGGTGCCCAGCTCCGCGTAGCAGAGCGCGCCCACAATGGAAAACACACCGCACGCGGCCCACACCACCAGGGACAGCCCGGGTGAGCCGGCCTCCTTGAGCACGCCTGTGGGCGTGACGAAGATTCCCGAGCCGATGATGGTGCCCACGATGATGGCCACACCGTTGAGCAGTGTGATGGAGCGCTGGAGGGTTACACCCTCGGCCTCCGTCTCGCCTTCGTTCCGCGCCGCCAGCATCCGCTCCCGCGCCTGTCGCTCGGCCTCCTCTTCGACGGCAGCCCGCGCCGCAGACGCACGACGCTTCGGGCCCGCGCTCGCCATGCTGCCGGAGAACCTAAAGCCGCGGCCGGCGCGGAGCAATGTGCCTGCGTCAGCCTTCACGCAGCCGCCCTTATAGGCTACCGCTGTAGGCCACGCCCACAAGATCGTGGCTTCGCCAACCACAGGTCCGGTAGCCTACCACAGCCAAGTCCCGCCCTCCGAGGCTCCGCCCCTTCAAGGACCCGCCGGGGTTCGCAAATGCGTGTGCTCTACTGGGTCAGGCACCTCGTGGTTCCCGGCCCGCGTCCGCACCCTAGTTTCTCTCAGCGGCTGTGTCCCGCAACCGGGCCATCCGGCTCAGGAGGGCCTGGCAGGGTGGTCAGCTACTCCTCGGGCAGCTACCCTCTGTCCGCGCTTTGGGAGCGCGCCTGGTACGTGGGGTTTGGGAGAGGGGCTGGGGGCTGCACTGAACGGAGGCATGGGAAGCCTGGGGGGGCCCTAGTTTAGTCTTGGAGTCGGAAGCCTGTAGGACGGGGGCTTGAGCCAGAGACTTGGAGAACCCACAGGGGCTGGGGGGACCCCTTGTCAGAATCACAGTGGAGTGGCTACCCCCACCCGGACCTGGACACAGAGTAAGGGGGAACCCAGGTTGGGGTGGTCTCCGTTAAAGCAGCTGCTGGTCCCTGCCGCATGGTGTGTTTGCTGGTCTGTGTGCCAGGGGACCTCCTGTATCACGAGGTGTGTTGCCCGTCTTTAATCCTGAGGAAGAACCCGATGAAGAAAGCCTGGGTCAGCTGTCCCTAGAACCCCATCTTTCCTCCGGACCCTCAGAAACCAGACCCACGCAGCCCAAGTAGAAGAAGGGAGAGGTCACACCAATGGTCATGGCAAATCTTGTCTAAACTGGTGGATTAGAACCAAACCCACTGCCCGTGGGGTAGATGCTAACATACCAAACCCTATACAGGGTTCCGAAGCTGTAAATCTTTATGGAAGCAGACAGCTTCATCTCTCTCCTGAGGAGCCTATCTTTTATTTAGCAGCCCACTGCTTATCCAAAAGTGTCAACAGGACAACATAATCTAGTGGGTTGTTGGCAAGTTGTGAATCATAGTGACCCTGCATAGGGTTTCTAAGGAGCAGCTGGTGGGTTTGAACCACTGACCTTGTGATTAGAAGTACAGTGCTTATCCTACAGTGCCACACCAGAACCCCTAAGTTGGTTGTTAAGTGTTGTGGTTCCAACTCAGAGCAACCCTGAATAGGGTTTCTAGGGAATAGTTGATGGATTTGACTGCCACCCTTGTGGTTTGCAGTTCAGTGCTTATCCTATAGCACCTTACCGGAACCCCTAAACTGGTGTTAAGGGGGATAAAAAAGCTTTGCGCTCTACTTCCCATCTTTTCAGGGAATGGCACTCAATAGGGACGCTGAGCGAATTTACTGTGTACTTATTAGGTACCAGCTTGGGCTAAGGCCTCGTGTGCAACTTCTTACTTGCAAGCCAGGCACCACCATCACTGTAGCCCTTCTGTAGATAAGTAAACTGAGGGTTATCGAGGTTTCTGTAGCTCATCTTCCTAGGAAGTGGCCAGAACCCTGGTTTTTATTTTTAAGTTGACTTCGGTTCCATTTAGTATGACATGGTGCTCCCAGCTTCTGGACAGTTGACCTCTATCACATTTATAGCTCCCCATGTCTCTCCCTCCAGCCCCTGATAACCACTAATGCACTTTGGCCTCTACTTGTGTGCCTATTCTAGATGTTTCACAGAAGTGGGATCTATAGATAATAATGTGTCTTATTGTATCTGGCTTTTACTTACAGTATTTTTAAGTATAGCATTTTCTTTCTCTTGATGGCCAAATAACATTCCATTGTATGACTGACTATACAGGAGTCCCTCGGTGGTACAAAACGTTAATACACTTGGCTGCTGAGAACAGGTTGGAGGTTCCAGTTCTCCCAGAGGTGCCTTGGAAGACAATCCTGGCCGTTTGCAGACTCTGTGGAGCCCAGTTCCACTCGGACACACGTGAAGTCTCCATGAGTTGGAACCCACTGGACAGGAACTGGTATCTATAAACCACATTGTGTGTGTCTGTTGTCTGTTGATGGGCACTTGGTTTGTTTCTACCTTTTGGCTAATCTAATGAGTGCAGATTGCTGAAACCATTCAGTGATTCTGTATTAAAACTTGGTCCTTGGAGCCTCAAGCCTGTGATGTACTTCTAGTCATCATTTTCCCTTTTAGACAGCTTTCACTTCTGTCCACTGCAGCTAAGACTGGACACCTCAGCTTGTGTTTTATTGGCACACAGTAGCACTCAGAGAGGAGGAGCTGTGATTCACTCCAAAACACCTGAGACAGGTGAACTCTGTACCAGCCCAATGCTGGCCTCCAAGTACACTACTGGGAGAGCCTGGGGGGGTCTTGAGCCCAGTGATAGCCAGTCCCCTTTTGTGTAAAATTACAATCATAGTAAGATAAGAACGCTGGCTTCAAGGTGTGGAGAAGAACCTGGGGCCTGGCAGGTTGCAGCAGGTTTTCAGGGGTGGTGCTTTGAGGCCTAGAGAGGCCTCAGGGACCACTGCTGGAGCTACGGGTACCTGCCCCTGGGAGAACTTCATCACAAAGGACTACAACCTTCTTTGTGCGTTTTCAAGACTCCCCTGGCTGTAGTACCGTGCCCCATTGAACTTTACTTAATTTTCGGGTGATAATGTTTTAGCCTCTCTCCTGTAAAACCTTTGATTTATAAGCATCTCAGACTTGCTCCCAATAGGAACTGAATCCAATCCTAACTTGCTCGGCCTCAAGTTGAGGACTCTCGAATCTTATCCAAGACTGCCACCTAGTGGTGATATCGGTGAAGTGTGTTTGGTACAGATCATCTGTAGGCGGTGTTTGCCCCTAGAGGTGTCTTGTCAGCTGTTAGTGTTGTTGAGTGGATTCCGACCCATAACGACCCGGTGTAGTGTCTCCAAGGAGGAACTGGTGAGCTTGAACTGCCCACCTGGCGCTTCAAATCGACTTTGCAGTCCAGCCCGTTAATCCACAGTGCCACACCAGGACTCCCTTGTCAACTGTAGCGGTTTATTAAAAGTGGTATCATTTATTCTCAAGAGACTTGCTGGGAGAAAATCCCAAACATGTCTAGAGAGGGCTGATTGGGAGTTTCTATCAAAAGCCACAAACAGCCCCTCCAGGGGAGATTTAGGTATATGCTGTGTTTTGGTTATGGGGTTGTCTGTTAAGGCTTCAGTGTGGGAAATAAAACAGAAGTCTGGTGTATCTGTTTTGGTTTTCTGTTTCCAGCGCGTTGATTCTGTAGAGGCCCTGTAGGACAGAGAACTGCCCCCATGGTGTTTCTGAGGCTAGAAATCTTTATGCTGCGTCTTTTTCTAGTGGAGCGGCTGGTGGGATTGAACCTCCAACCTTGCTGTTACCAGTCTAGCACTTGAAGCACCGTATCACCAGGTTGCCTTTGCTTTGGTTAGATGCCTGTCTGTACACGTTGTACAGTGTAACGTGGCCACCCACCAAAAGCCGCGATGTCAAAGACTCTCTGGGCATAAACTGTTGTTTTTAGGTGCCGCTGAATCAGTTCCAACTCATAGTGACCCTGTATAAGGCTTTTGAAGCTGTGAATGTTTGTGAGAGGGGCAAACCTCATCTGTCTCCTACGGAGCGGCTGGTGAACTCAAACCGCCGCCCTTGTGGTGGGTTTTAAAGCCCTGCAGCTCACCCTTTGCGCTAGTGGGTGTCCTGGTGGCTGTGGGCCTGCGTTCTGCCCTGTTGTATCAGAGCAGGAGTAAGCGGGCCGGGGCTCGGGTGGGGTGGGGTGGTAAGAGACTTGGCTTGGAGGAGAAGTTGCTGTCCTGTAGGTAACGTAAGATGCCTGCTCAGGCAGACTTGGCCCTCTGAGGATTGAACACTTGAAAGGACATTCCTTCTTTCTGTTTGGAGTCTCTGGCACCTCCAGGTAAGTCTTAGAAAGGAAGAGCTGGGGACACTTGGCTGTGGGACATGGGCTGGACAGTGGGCGAGCGGGATGGAGCTGCCCCCTGGCCTTTTCTGTCCCCTCGTATGAATTCAGTGATTTTCAGACTCTTCACTGCAAAAGGCGAGCGCAGGGTGAAGGGTGAGGGGCTGCACAGTGGAGCTGTGGACCTGGGCAACAGAATCTGACTTCCAAGTTCCCTCCTGGACCCCACTGCATGCCTGCTGCAGGAACCGGGCAAGCCGTAGACTCTCTCAGCCTCAGTTTAACCTTCTGTAAAATGGGCACCAGTGTACCATCTCATTAAGTTGTGAGCATCCAATTAATTAATATTGGAGCTTCTGAATCAGTTCTTACTCATAGTGACCTTGCATATGGTTTCTAAGAAGTGGTTGGTGGATTTGAACTGCCGACCTTGTGGTTAGCAGTCTAGTGCTTATCCTACAGGGTCATACAGGACTCCAATACATGTAGAACACTTAGTTAATTAATCACAAAACAACCCGGTAAATAATCAATACTAGTTGTAGTGATCATAGTATCTTCAACAGCCTGACATGCATGTGAAAGCCGGTAGTGACATGCATGTGAAAGCCGGTAGTGACATGCATGTGAAAGCCGGAAGTGACGCGCATGTGAAAGCCAGAGGTGACATGCATGTGAAAGCCGAAGTGACGTGCATGTGAAAGCCAGAAGTGACATGCATGTGAAAGCTGGAAGTGACGAGCATGTGAAAGCCAGAAGTGACATGCATGCGAAAGCCGGAAGTGACGCGCATGTGAAAGCCGGTAGTGACATGCATGTGAAAGCCGGAAGTGACATGCATGTGAAAGCCGGTAGTGACATGCATGTGAAAGCCGGAAGTGACA